TCTACGATGACCAAGAAAGACATTCTTCTGACCAAATTCCAACCGCGTCCAATCTGTGTTTTCTTCACAGATAGGACACGCACATTGACCTTTAATGCTATACCCCGATAGATTTCCGTATGCTGGGAAATCATTAATTGTGCCAAACAACATGGCCCTCAAATTAAAACTTTCTTTCCTATATCCATCATAAACCTCCACACCGTTCTCCCACAAACTTTTTAAGTCTTCGATTAAAGGTGTCAGGTATACGTCTATGTCGTTTCCTGGTTGTTTAGGGCCAGAAATTAACATAGATAACATCATGTACTTACGCTTCATACATAGCCATGGAGGTAGGTTATAAATCATAAGAATTACAGGCCAGGTGGAATGGGAGATACTTTGCAGACCGTGCGGATTCATTCCATCAGTCGATAATGCCAAGCGAAGGTTTCTAGCTTCTTCTCCAAAATCAGGATAATCATTATCAATTTTCATCCACTGTGGTGAATCTGCCGGATGTCGATACTTCCCATCTATAATTCTATCATCTGCATGCCAAGTAAGGTGTTTCGCATCTGTTTCACTACGAAACATGCGTCTGAATCTCGGAATTATAGGAAAATACCATAAGACTTTTGCTGGTGACAACTTCTTCTTATACCGAGATACACCGCATTTAGGACACTCGTTTAATGATGCATACTCATTTCGAAACAAAATGCAATCATTTGGACAAGCATGTATCTTATCATAGCTCATACCAATAGAGCATAACATTTTTTTAGCTTCATAGGTTCGATTGGGAAGAACATTATCCTCCGGAAGCATCTCTTGAAGTAGGGCTAACAACTCTGTGAAACTTTTATCCGACCATCCATTACCCGCCTTTAAGTTGTACAACTTTAATACCGCAGACAATCTTGTGAAAGTAGTGCAACCTTTATACAACGGCTTCTCTGCATTGCTTACCAACCTCTCAAACATCTTTGGACAATCTTTAAGATCTTCTTCAAGTGCTTCTGCAATATCTTCGACTCGATCACAATCGTATGTATCCCTACCATTGTCCTTTGAAGTAGAGGTCGTATTGTTCTGGGGTTCAACATTCTCGTTACTTATCTCACCGTGTAATGTCCAACATGTGTAACTTCGATCAATTCCATGTCTCATTAAATGAGATTCCAACTGAACCGCGTCAATTCGACGTCCATAACAGCAACCTAAGCAAGGACATGTGATCCTACTGGGGTCTTTGGCGTGTTCAACAGCAAACTTAACGAAGTTCGATACCCCATTCTCGTACTCTTTTGACAATCGATTAACAGACATCCAATTTTTATCCATACTATGAAAGTTAGGCAAAAACAGAGAATACCTGTAAAGAAATCACTACTTCTAAGAAAGTTGTACAGTAGGATGCTTGGAAACAATCACAACCTTACTCTTCTCAGGTAACCCCTATAACAGACAATATATACATTTTATTAAAATCATATTAATAATTAACCAAAACAAAAAAACTAGATAATCCAACAAAACAAATCATATTAAAAAAAAGTAGATATACTATAATAAACTATTCTACTATTAAAGCATACTTTCATTAATATGATTTTAAACTATTCTAAACTATTTTATAATGCTCAAAATGACATGGACTAAATTAAAGCATACTCTCATAAATGGTGGAAATGGACTAAATTATTCTAAACTATTCTAAACTATTTCATTAATATGATTTTAAACTATTCTAAACTATTAAATCATACTCTCAAAAATGGTGGAAATGGACTAAATTATTCTAAACTATTCTAAACTATTGCATTAATATGATTTTAAACTATTCTAAATTATTAAAGCATACTCTCGAAAATTTTGGTAATGGACTAAATTATTCTAAACTAATTTATAATGCTCAAAATTCATTGTGGCATTTCAACAAACACCTTGCATACAAAACTCAAGCCAATATCAAAAGAGTAATGCTCATCAATGGTATCAACAAAAACAAGTCAATAACTCAGAAAGAAGTAGCACTAACATCATCTAATCCAGAAAAATGCAATACTAAGACAATAATCCATAAAAATGCCGTAACAGTCGCGGATTTACCGTAACGGTGGAGGAGAACGAACGGTGAACGGCGGCGAAAGGGAACGGCGAACGGCGGCGAAAACAAATGGAAGACGGCGGCGCAAACGGACGGCGACGAAAGCTTCAACGGAGGGCGAAAATGGAAGATAGGGCAATGGAGAAATGAAGAAACGAAGAAGAAAACGAAAAAACGCGTGTTCTGTTTCGTTTACAATTCTGGAGGGTATATAAAAATTATTATACTAATACCTTTAGCAGCGCTTTTTAAAGGCCTTTAGTAGCGCTTTCATAGGGTGCATTAGCAATGACATATAGCAGCGCTTTATAAAAAAAGCGCTCTCGTAGGGTCCCCTTTTAGCAGCGCTTTTAAAAAGCACTTTCTAAGGGTCCCCTTTTAGCAGCGCTTTTTAAAAAAGCGCTGTCTTTGGTAGGTAATTTTTTTCTTTTTTTTTTACTGACTATTTAGCAGCGCTTTTTTTAAAAGCGTTGTCTTTTGTGCGCTGCTAAAAATCAATTCTGGCGTAGTGTCATGACTTTTGCATGCTCTTTGGTGTATGCAGACAGATGTTATAATGGCTTTGGCTGGGTAAAATGGAGGATCTTGGTCCACAACATTCTCGTCAAAATCTACTGCAAATTTGGTTAATGATAGTAATTTACATATTGGTGAAAATGAAGCAGGATTAATGAATAATGTAGCATTCCCACAAGAGCTTCACGGGAAGTTGCCTATAAGTGGCAGTTCTAGTCGTGTTGTTGGACCTAGTGACCGTGTATCCACTCCAACCAGTAAGCCTCAACCATACTACCATGGTTTGATATGGCTACTTTATAGTTTATAATAATGGATATCATACCTCCAAATGACAGAGTTTATAAAAAATACAATCTCAAGAGGTTGATGAGTTGAGAAGTTAAGTCCATACTTTCAATGTATCATTACAAAGACAAGAGCAAGAAAAGTTGGAGATGAAGCAATAATTGCAACGATAAGAAAAAGAGATGATTGAAACGAACAATAAACTTTCATTGTTAATGAATCATTTAGGATTTGTTGCATCTTCTTCTCATCTACCCCAAGTCAATAATGAAACCGATAATCCAAGTGAAGATGATGTTGATGAATCAGATGAAGACATTAGTGAACACATTAGTAGTGAATTTTGATTTGGATTATTTTTTCTTGTTAACTAATTTGAAATTTGGATTGTTTTTTCTTATTAATCTGGTTGGACAAGTGATTATTAATAACTTGAATGTAACTTTATAAGTACTCGTTATTGACTTTATAGTAATATTTGGTTGCTTTAAAAATTTGAATGTGATTAGTGTTGCATTGTCTTATTCAAATTAGATTTTTATTTTTATATTATTGTTACTTTTATATTTAACAATAATCATAGTATTTTAAATATGAATTAAACACAATAAGTAATAAATATTAAAAACCGGAGAGAGAAATTACTTGTGAGTTTACCTGCGGATTCACAATTTGATGCGCCTTTTCCTGCGAAAATTTAAATACCTGCGGTTGTTTCTACGAATTTATCTAGTTTACCTGCTAATTATTTAACTAAGAACAAAAATAGCGGGTAGTATGGTTTCTGCGGAAATTTTGTCAAAATCCGCAGGTAACTCCGCAGGAAATCATAGTAATTCTGGCCATGAAAATATTAATTCAAACAAAATCATAATGTATTTTATCAAAATAAAATTTATTTGCAGAATTTCATTCACATTTTGGTGAAGAAGTTTTAATACGATAAAATACATAAAAAAAAAGATCATCATAAATAAGTGGAGATGGTGAGATTTGAGAAAGCATTTGTGGGTGTGGTTGAGAAGACTGGATATACATATATTATTCAAGATGAATTACATGCTAAGGGTATCTTCCAGATTAAAGCGACACCACTTGGTGCATCTAGTAATTTACTAATATAATAAAATAACTGATTTATGACCTATTTATATGTCTCAATTATTTACATTTTTTTATATTAATATAGTAGACAAAAAAAGGCAGATAACTATGTAGCAAGGGAAAATACAACAAGGAAAAATTCGGCATAGTAAGGTCAATGGCGAGGATAATCAAAATGGAGAGAAAAATTAAGGTGACCAAGGTCAGTGGAAAAAGATCCAATGCAACAAACACAGGTTGAATGGCATGAGGAGTTCAGTTTGGAGTGTTGGGAGAGGGAAAGGGATAAAAAGAAAAATTATCTTCTTTCTTTTTCACCGAGTTTCCTGATCATTTCAACGCAAGAACATGTTTGATACATTCAAAGAATACGGTTTGGTCGTGGAGGTTTATATTCCCGCAAGAAGAGATAAAAGAGGAAAGAGATTCGGGTTCGTTCGGTTTAGAAAGGTAGTGGATAAAAATATGCTGGAAATCAAGTTAGACAACATACTTATTCAAGGAAGGAAAATACATGCTAACATTCTCAGATTTCAACGAGATTGAAATATTGAGGCTCATCATGGGAGAACTCTGAACCATTCGGGAAAGCCTAAGGAAGAGGGTTCGGAAAATCACATTCCAAACCATGTTTGGAAGACAAAGACATATAACGGTAAAGTAACATATGCACAAGCGGTGGGTGCTAACAGTTCCAACTTAAAAAAAAAGGATTTAGTGATAAGGTTCATTTGAAGTTCCCAGGCTTTCAACGCAGGAAGAGAGTAATGTTTATGGAAAGGGACCAATAATTATCTGATAAATGTTTATGCTTCTTGTAATTTGGGTGAGAAGAGAGTAATGTGGTTGGAATTGATTGAGAGGAAGATATCTCATCCTATATAGGGAGTGGCTAATCGGTGGTAATTTCAACTTGATTAAATCTAGAGAGGAAAGGAATGGGAGGAGTGCTACCTATAATATTGAGATGGAGGAATTTTTGTCGTTCATTGACACAATGGAATTAATTGATTTACTAGTTGTGGGAGAAAAATTTACTTGGTCCTCATCAAGTGGTAGTTGTAGAAGTAGGTTGGACAGATTTTTAATTTCGCAGCAGCTTATCAATTTATGGAATATCAAAGCTCAATATGTCAGTGATAGAGATATATCAGATGACCGACCGATTTGGATCAAAGCAAACAATATCAACTGGGACCCTAAACCGTTCAAAATCTTCGATGCCTGGTATGAACATCCATATTTCTCTCACTTTGTTGGTAGGTCCTGGAACACTTGTATGGCTCGTGGCAGTGTTGCTGCTATACGTGATGAAGAAACTGAAATTCTTGATCATGTGTCGGAGGTGGAGATGTTAAGGAGAAGCAAGGCCCAAACTGAAATGTGGAACAATTTAAAACTGAAGGATGTCATGATTAAACAGAAAGTGAGATTGAAATGGGGTAGGGATGGAGATTTGAACACCAAATATTTTCACTCGATACTAAATGGGAGATATCGGAGGAACTCAATTGTTTCCATCAAAGTTGGGGAAGATAAAGTGGAGGAAGTTAGTGCTGTTAAAGGTGCTATCAAAGCACATTTCCAAAAGTTGTTTTCTTCTGAACATTCTTGTAGGCCTCATTTGAATTAGACAGGTTGTGCTTCATTATCACTATCTGGGAGTCTGAGCTTTATGTTTTGACATGAAGAGATCAAAGGTGTAATATTTAATTGCGATGGTAGTAAAAGCCCGGAGCCGTACATATGTAATTTAGGTTTTTGAAGAAGTTTTAGGACGTCGTGGGAGATGATATCATCTTTTCTTGCACTGATACCAAAAAATGCAAATTGACAAAGCTTGAAGGAGTATAGGTCAATTTTCTTAATTGGTTGCGTCTACAAAATTATTTCAAAACTTCTTGCTGCTAAATTGAGAAGAGTAATTGGGAAATTGATTTCTGCTAATCAGTCGGCATTCATTCCAGGAAGACAGCTTCTTGATGGTGTATTGGTCCTGAATGAACTTGTAGACTAAGCAAAAAGAGGAAAGAAGAGTTTCCTTATATACAAGGTCAATTTTGCGAAAGCATATGACTTTGTTGATTGGAATTTCCTTAAGGACACATTACTTAACGTGAGATTTGGGAAGGTTTGGTTGCGTTGGATGGATGGTAGGGTACTGTCAAGCCACATGCTGATCCTTGTGAATGGGAGCCCAACGGATGACTTTCAAGGTTTGAGGGGTCTGAGACAAGGAGATCCTCTCTCCCCTTTTCTCTTTGCAATTGCAGTAGAAGGCCTTTCGATTTTGGTTAATAAGGCAGTGTCTATTGACTTGTTAAAGGGAGTCAAGTTTAACAAAGATGTATCGTGTAGTTTACTCCAATTCGTTGACGATACGGTGATAATGTGTGATGGTTCTTGGTCCAACTTATGGACTATCAAAGCTATCTTAAAAGGATTTGAACTACTTTTGGAGCTGCAAATTAATGCTTGGAAGAGTAGCTTATTTGGGTTTGGTTTGGAGGGTCATGTGGTACCAGCTGCTGTTGTGCTTCTTGGTAGCCGTTACGATTTTTTACCATTTAAATTTCTAGGATTGTCTATTGGCGGAAATCATAGAAAGAAAGCTTTTTGAAAGCCGATTGTTTCGTGTTTCAAATCAAAATTGTCATCTTGGAAGGGCTGGTTGTTGTCAATGGGTGGGAGAATCACTTTAATCAATTTCGTACTTACCAACTTGCCTATACATCACTTGTCATTCTTTAGAGCACTTGCTGCTATTATTCGGGAGTTAATCATTATTTAGCGTCAGTTTTTATGGAGTGGGTCGATTGATAAAAGGGGGTTGCTTGGGTAAGTTGGCGTAACGTATGCAAGGATAAGAAGTTTGGAGGTCTGAGAATTAAACACTTGAGGCTGTTTAATAGAGCACTAATAACCAAATGGCTGTGGCGGATCGTAAATGAGAGGAATGCGATTTGGCTAAGCTGCTGACTGTAAAATATGGCAATGTTATTAACAGGATCATTTCAAGAGTGGATACGGGAACAAATAAGTATGATTCTCTGTGGTGGCATAATTTAATGGAAATAGGAGATTCAAAGGACGTGGCTGTTTTGGAAACAATCTAAAATGAAAATTAGGTGAAGGTGGATCCATACCGTTTTGGTCTAGTCGATAGATTGGTAATGTAATACTACAGGATTGTTTCCCAAATATTTTTGTTGTTGCAGATGCATCTGCTGTTATTAAAGATATGAGAGCTTGGAGTGGTGAGACTTGGTCGTGGAATAGTTTCATGATCAACACAGGTGTCATGTCTTTCAGTTCTGCTGAGGCGCGGGATTTAGGCGACATTCTGCGTGACATCAGGCCTAGTAAGCAGGTAGTGGATAAATGTTTATTATCTGCTGGTGAATCAAGTATGTTCTCTGTAAAATCCTGCTATGTAGGATTGTTACTTCATGCAGGCGTGTCGATTTTAGGTCCATATTTAGAGGTTTCCCTTGCAATATTATGGCAGACAAGAATACCTTTGAAGTCTAAGATGTTTGGGTGGGGGCTGCTGCTTAATAGATTACCAACACGGCCCAACTTGGTTCGAAGAAGGATTATAACCAACTCTCACGAGATTGTTTGTGCGTTTTGTTTCAATGCCGACGAAGACGTTAAACATGTATTTTATTGTTGTCCTATAATTAAGGGTGTGTGGGAGCATATTTGTATTTGGGTGGGCATTTGTTAGATTGACGAAGATTTGATCATTAATCACTTTTTCGCTTAGTTCTTGAAGGTGGATAAATTATGCAGTTATAGAGATGCGAGGTTGATTTGGTTCGCTGTGTGTTGGAGCATTTGGTGGTCGAGGAATCAGATTATGCTCAACAACAAAATCGAGGACCCTTCAGTTATTGTTGATAGGATAATCTTGTTCTCCTGGTGGTGGGTAATATTTAGGGGGGGTAAAATCCTCTTGTAATTATTATGACTAGTTTTTAGATTTTGTCGACGCTTGAATCTTGTTAGGGGTGGCAAAATGGGTCAGGCCCGCCGGGTTGGCCCGTTTGACCCGCCACTTTTGGCGGGTTGAGCTGAGATTTTCGGCTTGGTACTTTAAGTTGGTCCGCCCTGCTTAACCCGCTTGAAAAAGCGGGACGGGGCGGGACGGGTTTTGCCCACGGGCTTTTTATTAAAAGTTTTTATTTTTTTACTTAGAATTAAAACAATTTTAACTATTAAAACAACACTCTTCTCTTAGGTTTATATTGATTGAATTATATTATAAATTATTATACAAACAAAATGAATTATAATTGTAATGTTCTTTCTATAACTTTCTAATACACGTGTTGCTGTGAAAAACTTAAAATAAAAGAACAATTGTATGTCATGCTGAATTATTAAGTTGTCAAACATTAACTCACATGTTTTCTTTAGAAATAGATGTTGATTTTAAGAAAAGGAAGGATTTGATTAGTGTATACGTGTGACATTTAAGATTTAACTATTAAGGAATCAGACAATATAAGAGTCTATATGATGTAAATAGTGAAAATTTTATGTGTTGATATTTTATGCAATGTGATGTTTTATGCAATGTAATTGTTATCATTGTTTATCTTTTGTAAATTTTTAATTGGGTTCTTTTAGTAGTTAGTTTTTAAGTAGGATTAGGATGATATGTATTATTTTTTTATTTGATACATTTTTATTGTGTTTGAGTTTATTTCGTTTTTTTTTTGTAATTGATATTTATTCATTTTATTTTTTGAATTGTTTGGACTTAACATGTTGAAGTTCTATTATGCGTTCTTAAAAACAACTTTTGTCGACCTCTTTGGTAATAAATAATTTTTGTGTGAATTATGTAGTAAATCAAATTGTAAAATAAAAAGTTAGCGGGTCAGCCCGCCAAATCGTTATTAAACGGGGCATGCTTGACTTTTGAGCTCAGACGTCTAAGGTGGCCCATCCCACTTTGCTTTTGGACGAGTTTAAACGGAACAGACTACCCACTTTGCCACCCCTAAATCTTGTAATCGGGTTAAAATATCTCCAATACTCTATATTTGAATTATTGCTTATAAAAAAAAAGGACAACAAAAATGAAGTGGCAATCATAAAAATAATTCTTTTATGCACATTGATTTTAAATTATGATTAATCTCTTTTTAAGTTTTGATACTCACTTGAATGATAGATTCAATTAGAAAACAATCAAGAACCTATAATGACAATTTATATATATATATATATATATATATATATATATATATATATATATATATATATATATATATATATATATATATATATATATATATATATATATATATATATATATATATATATATATATATATATATATATATATATATATATATATATATATATATATATATATATATATATATATATATATATATATATATATATATATATATATATATATATATAGAACAACATAAAACCAGAATTTTGAAGGTAGTAATAATGGTGAAAAGAAATTTAGAAAGAAGATGAATTAAGAGAAAGAGAGAATAGGGAAGAGAGTAATATTGGATGAATCACTAAATTGGCATTAACCATGAATTGGGATTACAACAATGTATATATACACATGAGAGAATAGCACAACTAATACAAAATACAACCAAAGTGCCATGCTGTTAAATTCTGTTATTTTGGAAAACTAACAGCTTTTTAAAACAGCTCACAACACACCACCTCACTTTAGTTGCTCCAAGTTCATCATGCTCAAGTTCTTCAACAGTCTCTTGAACACCTCATTTGTCACACCCTTGGTCAACAAATCCGCAACTTGGTCCTCGCTTCGACAATAGCTCAATCTAAACTTTCCATCACTGACCAATTCTCTCATGTAATGAAACCATATATCAATATGCTTTCTCCTTCTGTGTGCAATCGGATTTTTTGCAATATTTATCGCGGAAATATTATCCACAAACAGTGTGGTGGCATCATCATCACCACATCCCAATTCCTTCATGAGATTCACTAACCACATAGCTTGGCAAGCACTCAATGATGCCGCAATGTACTCGGCCTCACAAGAAGAGAGTGCTACAATCGGTTCCTTCTTCGAACACCATGAGATTGGTGTACTAACAAACATAAAGATGTAACCCGCTGTAGATTTCCGATCATCTTTATCTCTGCACCAATTAGAAGAGAGTGCTATGTAATTCTCATCAAATACAAGGAAATATAAAGTATATTTCTACACTTGGTTTATACACCACTGACAAAAAAAGACAACCAAGTATAAAGACCCTAAACTAGTTTGTCGTTCCTCACTCTCTTGGAAAAAATCAAGCTCATACAACTTACACTCCACTTTTGGGATGAAATGTTGGATCCAAGTTACATAAAACATTTGAGCTTCTAAGGTTTGTGTCTTTACCTTCAAGGATGAAAGTCTTCACTAATATTGTAAAGGGCCTCCAAATCCTCTTTAAAAAAATGGTGTTCCTTGTCAAGGAAGTCAGCTCGTCCTAGACGGTTTTCAACATCTCCGACTTCTCGATTGTAAGGGTTTTCACCATGGCTTCAAAAGCAACAATTATTTCCATTAAAATTTTGATCTTTATATTTCTTTAAAATTCAACATTCCTCAATTAAAAAACC